GGAGGTATTAGGAATAGGATAGGAAGATTATACCTCATAATTATTATAATCTCCAGTGAAGATCAGTCTTAGGAGCTTTAGACAAGTATATTAGTTGTGGATTGGATTTTTCTTTCTTTTCTTTTCTTTCCTTTTCTTTTCTTTTCTTTTCTTTTCTTTGCTTTGCTTTTTTTGAGACAGGAATTTTCTATGTAACTTTGGCTGTCCTGGAACTTGCTTTGTAGATCAGGCAGGCCTAGAACTCAAAGAGATCTGCCTGCCTGGAGTGGCATTCCATCGCTTTGTCTAGTCCAGTCATTAAAAGTAAGCATCCTCCATCCAAGGGGCCATCATAGAGAGCATGAACACTAGAAGGTGAGAATTAGAGGCAATTTCAGAAACACCTCAGTCTCGCCAAGTCTGTTTTAGTCCCTCTCAAATTTCTTTTCCACACCCTTAAAGAAAACTGCAGCTGAACTCAGGAATGGAGGCACCACCTTAGATCTGCCAGCACCAAAGAGATAATCATGGCGTGTTTCTCCAGAGTCTGCTTTTTGTTCCAACCCTAGCAAACATTAGTAATTAATACCTTTTATCTATACTATTACCACAGATGTGTAACTGTTATCTCTGATTCTAGTTATGATTTCATCCAATCTGATACTCACAGTGCAGCCTGAGAAATCTTTGGAAAGGGTGTGGGAAAGAGAGGGGAAGGGAGAAAGGAAGGAACAGAGGAAAGGGTGTATCTCAGTCACTGTTCCTTTTTTTGTTGTTGTTTTTCAAGACAGGGTTTTTCTGTGTAGCCCTGGCTGTGCTGGAATTCGCTCTGTAGACCAGGCTGGCCTCGAACATCTCTGCTCTGAGTGCTGGGATTAACAATGTGCTCCACTACCACCCGGCCAAAAGTCAACATTCTTTTCCTTCCTACTTTGTATAGGTAGGAGCAATTTTTCACTAAGCAAACCAGGACAGCATGGATCCCGGGCAAAAGGATCTAAAATCTGTAACATTTACCCTATGCATAATACCTATCCTTTGTTCTGAAGCAGACATGCATCCTCCCGATGGAAACAAACACAGCCACCAGTATCTTGGAACTCATATCCCATCAGCTCCCCCAGAAAAGAAAAGTTATCTGTATTTCTAGTGGTGGACTTGCAGGACTGAGTCCCTTGACCAAGAGTAGAGTGTATACATATAAACTGTATTAAGAAGAAAATGACAACAACCTAAAAAGGGAAAATAGTCATACCAAAATCCTTTCAGGATCCTTCAGGATCACGCATATTCTCACTATAATAGCTTATCTCTTCCTATTATTTTCCTCAGCCATTCTGAATGTCTTGTGTGCCTTGTCTTCTCATACAGTATTCCCTTTGTCTAAAGCGCTCTTCTTTCCCTTTCCACCTCACTTGGCTGCCTTCCATCTTCCAATGGTTTCGTCAATATGCTTTCTCATGAGGGTTTCTCTTACAACTGCAATTTCTGTAACGTATCATACCTTCTCTATTATTACATTCATGTAGGCTTTGTAAGGACTTTCTCCTTTTCAATACAGGGTCTCCCTACATAGCCCAGGCTGGCCTGGAAACTACAGTCTTCCAGCTTCTGCTTCCTGAGTGCAGGATTTACAGGCATGTGCCACCACTCCCATCAAGGACTCTCTCTCTCTCTCTCTCTCTCTCTCTCTCTCTCTCTCTCTCTCTC